AAAACATAATTAATAATAATTATAATAGACTTCTGACTTCTGTCATGTTCCAACACTTCCACAGTACTCGCCTTACCTTTTCTGCCTGCCTCATTTACATTTGTGAATCACTCTTATGTTCCTTTCTTGACTTTTTTGTGACTTTGATGATCCTCCTCCTCTCTGTAAAGCCCGAAGTCAACTAAGGGACTAATGATAACTATCACAAAGTCTGCCATTAAATATAAACGAATAAATAATTTCCAAACACATTTAGGAAAGCTCATTTTAGGCAGGGAATGCTATCAAACAGAGCCTTTTGGCAAAAGCGCCAATTTCCTCTTTTATCTCTACGTAATCCCGTAGTAGATATTCAAAATGCGACCCCATGAAGTGTGTAGTTACTTAATAGTACAATTCCGCTCTGACATAACTTTTTATCTAATCACTTCATTCATGCCTCCAATTTCCCATCCATAGACCTTAAATCTCTTAAAAATATATTAAAACTAGTTACACAAGCTAACGTCTCCCTCTGCTCCCCCAATGAGCTTACTGTTTATGAGGTTGCCATACTACATGCTATTTAAATGTAAGTAGTACAATGTCTAATTTATTAGAGTTCATCATTGGTGGTAATTAATGTTACCTATATTGTTCGTCTTTCTGTCCTCCACTTTGATAAATTGAAGTGACATGAACAACTGTCCTGTTAAACTGGCTGTCCTACAAGTTCTAAGTATTACAGACAGTTTCATCTATGAATCCTAGAGTCAAGCCCCTAAATTTGAATTCACATCAAATATAAGTGATGTGACTCCATTGACAACTTTTTATTGATTTTCCACGACTTGTGTGCCTTTTCGTTTCCACTATGAGGTGACCTCTTATGTAATAATTACATTTTTCCATAGCCATGAACTGTGACGATATTTTTTGCATGCTTTGAACTGTTTTGGGTCCAGCAATTGCTACAAAATAGCACTTAAAAATCACCCAGTAACTTTGTCCTTTAACTTCTAAAGTTCTTAGGAATTACCCAATTAATTGCGCACTGATCATTCTCTCCTTTCACCTGAATAAAGTGTAACCTAAGACCACTGAATCATAAGACATAAAATTTAGACCTTTTAATTAGCTCTTTGTAAATTAAGATTATTTTCTCGTTAACTGCATTTCAAAACATGGCATTCCTTGGAGTTCTAGTGAGGTGAACACTTCCAGCACTTGTTGCGAACTATTGAATGTTCAGTATACTGCATTAATAATATTCATTATTTCTAACTTTTTAATGAAGCTATTATATTGATTCGCCTCCTTGCTTTCTCATGGGAACATCTTTTTACTTGAAATCCCAGTATTTTGCACTACTTCTTCTTCCATCGACGTCTTCATGGAGTCAGTTCTCTGTTACTGGCCTGATTCAATATTGTTCTAATGAATTTTGATATCGATCAACTTACTGTTCACTAAATACTGGAGGAAGACAAATCTTCAAGTTAGGCTCCCGTATCATCATGGCGTGCGTAGATTTCGCTCAGTGGATTCCTATTGGAAATCCCGCAGTCGCGTTACAGCAAAGAAAACTTCAACTAACTTTGAGTACAATGGGAGATCCCTTTTCCGAAGTGAATACTTTGAGTCCAATCCTCCTCAGTATCGATTTTCGCTTTATCCTTATTCGCCTAAGTTGTTGTGATGAAATCTCAATTGAATATACAGGGAATAACCGGAACATCTCTTACACTTCGTTTGAAGTATTCACCAAATGATTCATGCGGTTGACCTCAAGTTGCATGCTCCTGCGCGCATCGTTTTGCGAAACTTGGCTTGAAGTAAAGATTCAAGGTCGTTCAAGTTTTCGCCTCCTTTTGGTTTATACCTCTATCCCCTTAATTTTTATTTTATCCCAAGGTCAATGAGTTATGCTATTATCAATTTGATAGAGAATTATCGATCGATTGTTAATCCCCTTCCATTTTGCAATACGTTCGTCTATCTGACTAAACTGATCAGTAAAGGTTCAAAAATAGGATGTCAGCTTAATAAGAGGTGAGCATGGATTAAAATGGGGTAGATTGTTGATAAATTTCGTTAATTTTTGGAATGTTGTATTTTAACACATTGGTTCAAATTTAGAAACTTGTGATTACTGTACTTCATCAACCACAAGGGTTCGGAAAGGGTCTTTTTTCTATTTTAGCTAAGACTATATTTCTTGGTTAGTGACAAATAGAACTAGTTCTCAAAGTGCATTGCACTGACCAACCTCGTTTCATGATAATTTGATATTTTGAAATTATTGAACTTTCTAAATTCTGGCCCTGCGTTGTTACACTTTATGAGAAATTCATTGCCCCTTCGTTTCATATTGCAGGTTGAATCTAGAAGATATATGAACCCAATAACCTTTGCTTGAGTTAATCCAGTCGACCTCAATTTATGAAGGTAAAGTTGCCAGAGACCTTGGAATTAATGTGGTGCGGCAATTGCTAGCCTTCATTTATAATGAATCCGGTTATGAATTGAAGAATTACTCCATATTGTTGTAATTGTCGTATTGGAGCAAGGTGTGTTAACGAATTCTACGAATTTGTGCATAACATTCGCTTTTACTTTCAATAATCCGATTACCTCCTGAGTGCGTTCTAAATGCGTTAATCTTATATACATCAGACTCGTGCGCATTCGTGATCTCTTCACTACTTTATTGACCGCACAATTAGTGCATTGTGCCACCCCCCCCCCCCCTATATCATTTGGTTCACAAGTGCATTAAGTGTTTTAATTCGCCTGATTCAATGTATTCCGGTGATGTCATTCATTATTGTTGTTATTTAATTCTTCGAGTGTTAATTTCAATGGCTTGCCTCTGAGTACTTCCCATGCTACAAAAAAGGTTGGAACTTAGGGAGAAGCACTTAAATTCCTTCCTAACTATTGTTAGCATACTATCGCTTTTTGGCTTGGTGAGTTGCAATTATAGGGAAGGTGTCTTGACCGTCGTCTTAATCGAATCTAATCATTTAGGTAATTCTATAAAATTGATTAATTATCACTATTATTAGATGTTAGATTAAATTCTCATGATTGCACACTAACATAGTACAATCAACATTAATCTAATAGTTTGAAGCAGAAAAAAGTGGGCTTACCGCTTATAAATGCGGGCTCATTTTGTCTTTATTAATACTTTGTAGGATAGATACTGTTCTATTGGTTGACCAAGTGAATGAAAATTGCCTTATTTATAAGACAATGGTGTTTTACTTCTGTCTTACAAAATGGGGAAAATTTTAGCCATTGCAGCAACGCAATGACAGTCTGAGCTTGTAATGTGTATGTGTGGAGTTGTCAAGACAGTGCCCAACACTTGAAGTCATGTTATCATTCGCCTAGTATCTTATGCGATTGTTTAACAATAGTTACTGAATCCAGCATGTGCTCTTTAGATATGCCAAGCATATTAATCTACGTGTGATGGTGCCAATTTGTCAAATGTCTCGCAATGTAAAGAACTGCTACACCTTACCAAATATGCTTAATAGTTGGGTAAATCGATTTCTTAAGGTACTATTAAGTTGTCGATAAGTGCAATAAATAACTCGCCTTACTCAAATTGAGTAGACTTAATGTGTCTGTAAAGTAGACCGATCAATCTGGTGTTTGTAACTTCGCACGCAGACAATCCGGTGATAACGCGTTTATTTGGCATCATAGCTACAAAGCATGTCGTATCATTTGGCCCTCCGATAATAAAAAATGACAGTTAACAGGAGTTAAGTTTCCAGGTCAAAACAGATTGAACCGTTATATTCTGCTCGATAATGCCAAATAAATCAACGAAATGTTAAGCGTAGGCCTTTAACTAAATATAAGGCGAAAGCTTAATCATTTTAGTCCCCTTCATTTGCTTCTCAGTACAAACTATTCAAAAAATATAAGATCAATTAATAACAATTTCATATATACGTCCCTTTATACTACCCACTGTGTCGTGAGTGCCATTACTTCCACTAGATTTTACGGTTGTTCACCAATCTTCCTATACCTGACTTGGCCACAAGTTTTGGCTAGTTGTTTTGGGTAGACGAGTAGTGATTTGAGGTTTCCCATGAAAGGCTCCGATTCTGCTATTATTTTTACGGTTAGTTACATCATCTAATGGATGTGCACCACAGGGTAACATGTATTTGGCAAACACACACACACTGACCACTAAAGTCAGAATTCCAATAACAAAGATTCTTGCCTCAAACTGTAATCTAGTGGAATTTTTCTCCCAAACGTCGACTCCACAACATGAGCGAAAAGCAACCGTTTGCCAAAAAGGCTGAGAACACCAGATTTTTAAGACATGGTAAAGCAACAAGCACCCGAGCTCCATTTTTACCATTAGTCACTTTCACCAAGCCCAGGCGCTTACAACATTTAAGCTTGAAGCTTCCAACTAATCTGGGTTCTTTTTGAAGAAAAGGAAAGGATTGAAAGATCAAGAACGAGGAATATACGCTTAAGCTTTTTCGAACGAATTTCGAATGTCTCACTTTGAAACCGGTGGTCCTCAAGACTGCGGCACAAAATTAGGTAGCCAATTAGGGCTAGCCAATTATGCAAAATTAAAAAAACAATGCCAAGGTCAGGAATACCTACAATATACAACAATAAAACCTCGAGAACTTAAAAGGAGAACAAATTTAGGAATGACAGTGCAGAACTATATATGGGCTGAAGCTACACCATATGCAGGTTTTCATTTACGACTTACTGCTACTTTATGGACACGCGTGAAAATATAAAATTAGTGCATTTTACCACAATTTACAGTACTAAACGAAAAATGCGATTCAATTCTAATCTGTTGCCCTTAAAAATAAAAGCCAGCGAATCAAAGATTGAAGGACTAAACCGGTCTAACGATTAAGGATTCAAAACGTAGAACATAACTCCCAAAATAAGCAGCAAAACCACAAATACATCCCAAGAAGCGTTATATTAGTTCACTAACAAAGCAAACACATTTACTTATAAGCAAGGGAATCAGCAACAGTCTTGCCCCGGATGGTATCTGGCTGAGCAAGATAATCGGCAATGAGGACCTTAGCTTCTGGTGAATCCAGCTCAATCTTCTTCCAAGTGTAGCAATCATAATCAGCACTAAGGTCATCACTCAATTCGAAAATCAAACCAGTTCCACGCCAAATCCAAAGACCTTCAATGGTATTGTTCTTGTCAACACCGATAACATTCATGATACCAAAGGCCCACTTTCTCATACTAAAAGGATAAAAGGCCAAAGTTAGAAAACTGCAGAACTTAAAACAAGACAATGAATATTAGACAACTTACGCATCAAGACGTTGCATCATTCCCCTCACAAGGTTGGTCGTCATGAAAATCAAGTTGAGATCATCAGGATACTTGTATTCACAGGTCCAAATTGAGTCACACTTGGGATCATAGTGCTTCTCCAAATACTCCATCGCTTTTTCCACGGGCTCGTTAGAAAAGACCCTCTTGAAGTCATCAAAGACGAAGGAACTGGCAGGAAGAGCGCTCAGAATGTCTTTTGTAGTCTTTACTTTCTCTTTGGGCTTCTCTTCCTTCTTCTCGGGTTCGGTGGTCTTTGTTGGCTCCTGATTTTGTTTTTGTTGTTGCTGCTGCTGCGGCTGCTTCTTTTCCCGTTTCTTACTACCCCCTTTGTGCATGTCGGCGTTGGCATTAGAAGCATTCTTAGGGTCGAAAGCAATCGTCTTTTCGCATAGATGCATCTCACCGACAACTTTCTTAACTTCGGGTTGATTGGCGATGGTTGTGTACCATCTCAAAACATGGGGATAGTGTTCACGACAGCCAGCATCCAAGAGGTTCTCAAAGGCCAATTTGAGAACAGTGAAGATAGTCAAATCAGCCTGAGTTATGTGTTCACTGACAAAGTAGGTTCTAAACATGGGAAGCTAATATAATTGAAAAAAATGGCCTACCTTGACTCAAGGAAGCTGTTCAAATTAGTGAGAACCTTCTTCACATTCTCCTGGGCCTTGTTGACGAGACCCTTATTGTAGGCAGTTGCACCAAGAAGTGGGTAATACCAGGAAGCAACAGATGGAAGGAGAACCTGATCTGTGAAATTATTCCATTGAGTTACAAAGGCTTCTTCCTTATCCCCCCTAAGTTGGCTGTTTCCAACAAAGTAAGCGATAGCGTTGGCTTCGAAGAGTACGGTACCATCCTCAGCGCGGAATAATGGAGCCACATCAGTTGGGCACTTGTTTACTGCACTCGGAAGAGCATTACCGGGACAATAATCATGAACTTCAAGGGAAGCCCCTGAGTAAGCAGCAGCCAACTGAGCTCTTAAAGATTTGTGATAATTTGGAGGAGTGTACAAGGATCCACGGATTGTCATTATTGAGAGGTAATATACGACGAAAGAGGACAATCAACACGCCGACTTACAAACAAGATAACGAAAAAGTAATGCGTTGATGAAATAGATAAACACAAACAAATAACATTTAAGACACACTTATTTTTTTCAAGAATATATAATCAATTTTTTTTATTTTATCCATGGTGATAATTAGAATAATGTATGAAAAGATGTTTAAATATAACTATTGCGAATAATTAAAAAATATTTAATTTTAAAATTTTTTCGACAAATTTTGGTTTAGTTTATTATTAGTAAGCAAGTTATTTGTTTTCCACGACACTGCTAAGCAGTGGTCAATTTGATAGTACCCTGATATGGCTCCTTCCCGATTTTTGTCTGCCCTACCTCGCTTTTCTAGGGTATTGATTTTAATATTTGCGTATATTTTTTCAGTTTGCTAGAACATATAGTATTGGAACTGCAACCAGTTATAAACCCGTTGTTGAGTCGTCACATATTCCGTCCACTGAAGTCAGTACTCTAAAGAATGGTTTCCGCATTGCCTCGGAAAACTGGAATGTGCCAACATGCACTGTAAGCATAAGTGAAATATACTAAATTGTTAGGTCGGGCTTTGGATTGATGTTGGAAGTCGCTTCGAAAATGAAGCCAATAATGGCGTTGCCCATTTCCTCGAACATATGGCTTTCAAAGGAACGGATAAGCGAACTCAGCAATCTCTTGAATCTGAGGTTGAAAACAAGGGGGCTCATCTTAATGCCTATACTTCAAGAGAGATGACCGTTTACTATGCCAAGTGTTTCTCAAAAGATATAGATTGGGGTAGGCGCTTTCTCTCTTCTATGACTTTTTTCTAGCTTGTGAGCTCATCTCTGACATTATTAGAAATAGTAAACTCGATCAGCAACAAGTTGAAAGAGAACGTGGGGTTATTTTGCGCGAAATGGAAGAAGTTGAAAGCAACTATCAAGAGGTTGTTTTCGATTATCTGCATGCTACCGCTTATCAAGGCACTCCTCTGGGCCGAACTATCTTGGGTCCAGAGAAGAATGTTAAATCCCTTCAACCGAAAGATCTTCGGAGTTTTATTCAAACAAACTACAAAGCTCCGAGAATGGTCTTAACTGCAGCTGGTGGCGTTGATCATGCCCAGTTGAGAGATCTTGGCGAAAAATATTTTGGTGACATATCTGGATTTATTGATGGAAATGCTCCATCCGTAGAACCTTGTCGGTTCACTGGTTCAGAAATTCGTGATCGAGATGATGCTATGCCCTTAGCTCATGTTGCTTTAGCTTTCGAGGGTCCAGGATGGACCGATCCCGATACCCTTGCATTAATGGTTGGTAGTTGTGTCAACGGAGCCTGGGATAGAACTCACGGAGGTGGCTCAAATCTCGCTAGTCCTCTTGCCAGCAAATTCTTCCAAGATGGATACGTTCACAGCTATCAGCACTTCTTCACCTGCTACCATGACACTTCCCTCTGGGGTGTTTATTTCACGGGAGAGAAGTTCGATTTAGATGTAGCTGTTAATGCTTTTACTAAGGAGATGGTTCGCATGAGCTCCCAAATTACTGAACATGAAGTTGAACGAGCTAAGAACCAACTCAAAACCCATCTCATGATTCAGTTGGATGGAACCACTCCAATTTGCGAGGATATTGGGCGTCAGATGCTAGTCTATGGACGTCGTGTTCCTGTTAATGAAATGTTAGCTAGAATCGACGTGAGTATTTTTTATTTTTGCTATTAGTTCAGCAATCATTTTGTATAAAAATCTTATGCTTTCATTCGTCAGGCAATTGATGCTAATAGACTTCGTGAAGTTTGCTCGAAATACGTGTTCGATAGATGTCCCGCTGTTGCTTCTATTGGTAAGTTGCCTCTTCGGTGCAATTTTTTTTACCGAATGTCAGATCATTAATCATTTTCCACTCCCCCTTTAGGCCCGATTGAATCACTTCCAGACTATAATAGAATTCGTGATCAGACCTGGTGGATTCGTATGTAGGTTCTTCACTCAACAAACTATCTCAGGATTTGCGCCCCCTGTTTCCCAAAATTAGTGTCATAATATAAATGTCCTTGTCAGCAATATTGAAATCGGTTAATTTTATTGCAAATAACAAATTTACATCTTTCTCTAAATTTTTCAACATATGTGTTTTATTATGACAATGTGAGCCGTCACCATTTGAGAGTTGCTGGATTTGTAATCTCGATCTTGGGAATAGATCGATAAGTAGTATAGCAGATGCTTTGTCTGTGTGAGGGGTTGATTTTGGATAGGAGTTGCTTTGATTCATCACTGTTTAAGAGATCTTGCTCATTCTGTGAGAAATAGGTCCGTGAGACGTCTGCTAATGTGGACTGTAGTTGGGCTCCGCCATTTAAACAGCCTTAAAGAAATATATATGCACATTAAAATCCAGTAAAAGCGAAAATTTGACAAACTTACCATTGGGGCAGGCCATAATCTCAACATAATCAAAAGCGACTTCTTCCCTAAGTGATGTTCTTCTTGAATGTGCCTTAGCGTAAGCTCTTTTAAGCTGTTGGACGACAGTTTGAATATTCCTGAATCCATTTGCAATAAGAAACACCAGAAGGGGTTTGGGTTCGATTCCACAGTTTCGGTAGGGTGTTCTTCCCACAGGAACATTTGCAAATGCAGTTTGGCGATCTTCTGGAGAATTGAAGAGCAGAATTTCCTAATAAGGAAATAAAACTGATTAAAAAATTGTGCAGATATAATGGCATGTAATTGAGTATCGATTAATGAGTTAGAGGCTTGTAACGGAGAATGAGGCAGTACGCCCAAAAATTTCAGTCAGAATTCAATGTGGATTTAAAGCATACTAATGGTCAATCTCCAATGCAATGCCATTTTATCATGGTGCTCTGGTTGTCTGTTGTTAGCGTAATAGAATTCTGCTGAAAAGGATTTCTACATCTGCGATTTCACAGCATTGAGACGTAGAAGAACTAACATAGTAAATCTCAATGAAAGAAAAACAATGAAGTAACAACAAAGAAAAGATAATGATTCGCAGGATGTGATTATTCATTTAAAAAAACAAATAAGAAATTTGGGATAGGAGTTCTTTGAGTTAGATGCTACAAATTAGACTGGGGTAAAAGGCGCACCAAATTAGAGCTCCATAGGATTCCGGTGACTTTCATATTATTGGCCATAGCAAAGCAAATAATTTACAATTTTTAAACAAGGAGACCCATCGAAACACAAGATAATAAATTCAACTGTTTGAGGAGGAATATGGGGATAAGTGCTCAATAAGGAACTAGCTCTAGCCTCATAAGGCTCCTTGCATTGTGACCTAACGCTTGAAGAATAAATTGAAAGTAAGACCCATTATATTCACGCTTAATAGTTCAGTGACAGAGTTTATGAGCACGATTAAGAAATGGTCGAAATTGAGAGGCTGATTATGTCATTTAAATATATCCGTGTCTTATTACAGAAAGAAAGCTAGCTGATACCACCAACCGACTTAACTGACATTCATAGCAAGAAACTATCAGACCATGTTCTTTTATTCGTGGTTCAAAAATAAATCCCATGTTCAAATAATGAAGGATGACTCGCTAGCTAGTTCAATTGCAGATAGAACAAAGGGAATTTTCAAAAGTAGAGATATAGGAACCAATATTAATACCTGTAGATCATGGTTACCAAGATTGCGTGTGAGCACTCGGGGATCATCTGTGACATTAAGAGGTAAGTGAATGTCGAAAAGAGCTTGCGCTGCGTGCCAAAGAACCGCGAAAGCATAACCCCCAGAACCTGAGCCCGCATGTCGATAACTTGTATAAGAACCACTGTCTCCGAGCATGGGATTCAAAAACCTTAAGGAAAAAACAAACTTAAAATAAATTTTAAGCAGAGCCTAAAGAATTTTGAAACTGAAAATAACCTCGAATTTAAAAATAGCGGAGTTACATCGTCTTCCATAAGTTGTTGCGAGGGCTGTTTTAAAAGAGCCTCTAAGACTGAAACAAATTCATTCGTTCCCAATACAAGATCGGCTTCTTTCTGCAAAACATCTCCAAAAACAGTAAATTCACTTCGAGAAGCCTCTAGCTTCTTATCATAACAGGGCATTACAAAGACGAGATATAGGCGACGACCAACCACAGAACCCTTTAATACACCAGCCAGCATTTGTTGTGGAGATCTGACAAGTGAGATATGTTTCAGAAGGAAAGATTCATCCCAATCATTAAATGTTGGAGGTAATTTGAAATGAGTCTTTTCTGCATAGCAAACCCATCCTGGGCAAATTCCGGTTATTATGGGAAGAATCGGTGTATTCGCTTCACCTTTGGCCACTTTTATATATTCCTCCGCAGCTACAAATAAAGAAATGTCTCGACTCCACGTTGTATCAAGAAGTGGTTGCGAAGTCACACCACGGGAATGAAGAAGACGCCAGCAAATATCCCTAACTTCTGTCATGCCAAATCCATCAGATGAATTTCCCAACTCTGAATCGAAATATTCTATCAAGCTCGAAGGAAGAGAAACACTTCGCTTTTGCAATGAGGTAGTTAAACTAGCTAACGATTGAGGAGACAGTGCCATTACAATTTCATGCTTTGTGGAATCCTTAAGTAGATCGAGAAATGAATCAACACTGTGCTGAGAAACTAAAATGGTCTCAGCTGTTGTGATACAGCCACTGCAAGCCAAACAGTCATTAAGGTCAATTTTGGCCTTTGATAGGGTATATTTTTCACCCAAATCATTTGTTGCAACGTAGGTGCCATCTTCGCCAATCGAAATGGATTTGGTTTTCCCAACTTCGGTAGGGATCTTAACCGGTTTGATACACTCCTGCAAATTTAAATATGTATACAATTACGCGTATTCATCAACAAAATTGGTGATAAAGTTTTGTCTTACTAGGGATGGCGCTATATAATCATCAATGTCATTTAATTTTAGAGCAGTAGAGAAGTTCATCTATAGGATAATTTAAGAAAAAGCGAAAATAACGGATGTCGAACGGAAAGAAAATACAGCGATAAAATTGTACGTTTAAGACATCCAACAATTACTCACATGTAAAAGTCGTAATAAAACTGGTTATCACTAATCTAGGCTAGAATTCTTGAGGTCTTCTGTAGGTCATCTAGGTATTACCAAAGCATATTTGTCCTCTGAATGCTAATACTATGTTTCGAATAAAATTATTTTTGCCTCAAACAGAAATAAGCATGATTAAACATAAATTAACTTGCTATTGAGTTTCACGTTTTATTTGACTGCTATAAATCAAAAACTATTTTTAGACCTTTTAAGAAATTCAAGAACTCAAAAAAACTCCTTTCATGCTGCCAAACATTCAGCGCTTGTTTTCTTTTGATGTAGAGAAACTTGATACATTGTCCTAATCATATTAACACTAAAATGCTATTGAGATTTGTATTTTCTCTACAATCTAGTTGAAGTTGAGAAAACCTAATCAAAACGATATCGATTGAAATTTCGCTTAATTTAGCTTATTTTAAATTAATGAGAACTAGGTTCACAGTGAATATATCAAATCAGAAAACTACTCATATTTATTGCTAAATCAAATAATTTTTTGATTCAACAGCTTTTACATGACGCGGCAGTCATTTCAGCTCTCTTGGTTGCTTTGAAACTCTGTAGGTACTTGTTTGCAAGCATAGATTTACATTGCCATGTTGTTAGTTGATATTTGGCTCTGGCAACATATTGCCTTTACTCGTAGCTCGGCAGAGTATTTTTCTATTATGGAGGTCTTAAAAAATAAATTATACATATTTTATTATAGATTATAGATACCTTAAAGAACATAACCAAATTTACCAGTTTATCACATTCAGCTCGTTCTCATAAGGCAGTTAACAGTTCCAAACTCAAAATACGCCACTTAAGTTTTGTAATCACACCTTAATTAGAAATTGCTGATATGATGGATGGAAGTTCTCATTCAAACTAACAAATTTTCGGCATTATGTATAAATAATCTAATTAATATTTGTACTTAAGTTATCTCAAAGAATTATTAATACAAACAGTAGATATTGTCTAATTTTAGTTAGGAAAAATCGTAAGTTGAAAATCGATCTCCATAAAAATAAATCAAGTCAGTCATTTGGGTCGATCGCTATTAATAATTACCATTGTTCAGCTTAGATAGGATGCACAATTATAACATCACTCTCATTAACTTTATGAGCCTCCACAGATTAAAATTGTGCTTTATGATTTCAAAAAACTCTTCTGATTTGGTTCCTAACATTCATGATGAAATAGTTTTAAGAATTTGAGACAAATATTATAAATTATCAATGTTATGAAATAATCACCTATGCAAGAAATATTTTGCTTCATTGTTTTCAGCTGAAATTTTGACCTGAGCTTTAATTAATTGCGAATTTCTCAGTTTTTATGCCATTGATTTGGCTGATGAATCAATCGAGTTCAAAACATCTGTGTGCTTCCTTCAAATCGTAAATCACCAATGATTCGTTTCACTGAAGCTCTGCTTTAAATCATATTGGGATTATTAGAAATTATATAATCGGCTGATTGTTTTACGACGAATGTGATCTTGAAGCCAAGTTTGTTGTGTTCAGAAATAGGCATAATCGAATGAAGTGCTGCTTTCTGAAAAAAAGATTAAAATACAAATCCTATTTATTCATTTCTCAAGCAAGCGGATTCATGAATGTAATAATGAGAGATATATGAAAAGAAGTATCTTTGCTTAGTCGGGTAAAAGTGCTAACTGGTATCTTTTAAGGTAAAAAAATTAAAATCTTACCCTGATTGAACGATGTGACTAACGACACCTTTATGTTTCTTTAGAAATTTTAATGAATTGTAGTAAGTAATACAAGTATTCAACTAAATGCACTAGATCAACTGATGTGTTTGATAATTCCCTCCGTTAGGAGACTTAATTTCCCTAATTTTATCAAATTTTACTCAAATGGACCGTCACATTTTTGCATAAATGTAAAAGCTGAATAATTATGAATTAACTACTAAGGTTGTTGTGCATATTGCTTTCGCTCAATAACAAATTCTAACATTATATGCCTTCGCATTTTCATATAGAAAAAGTTATAAATTACATTATAAATAGATAAACGTATTGTACGTTTTAATATTCGCATCTAATAATATAATTTTAGGAAAATATTTTAACATTATAATTATTTAATGTTCAACTATTGATGTAGTTGATATCAAAAAATGATATTGGCTCAATACAAAGACCAAGGACTCATAATATGAATATAGATATTAACTGTAGAACGAATATCTAAAAAGTTTATTTATAATTTGTAACTTGTAACTCCAAACTGCATGCGACCTTAAATCAGTCGTAAATATTTTTAAAACTCCCAATTCATTTCGCTAACCGACTTTTATAAATGAATTCGAGACCCTGCAATAGAGATCAGAACAAACTTGATAATTCAAAATTGATTTTCCATCGGTACTGAGTACATAAATGAAGGTCTATGGATAGATCAACAAGGTTGTTCACTTGAGAATCAAGTCAACATGTTTTCAATAAACAACATTGAGAATGAAGGCATGAAGGAAATTCGGAGGATTGTCAAGAGAGTGAAAGGATGACATCGATTAAAATTGATTTCCTTAATTCAAATTTTCTTATTATTTTTTGCCTCGCTGAAACAACTCTTTGTTAGCTCTGACATAATTTCTGTATCACCTGTCAGCCATTTCTTATAATTTCCACTACCCGTTTTGCATAGAGTGAATGCCCTACTGTTCAAACTTCTATTGTACGACCAGCATTTAGCTTCTGTCTTTAGATGAGTAGAAATCAGTGTTGGTAGACTCTATACCTGCCCGCCAAACCTATACTTGCTTAAAGTTCGCCTTACCTACTCAAATGCTCTCTCAATGCACAAATAGCCAAGTTAACAAATCTACCACAGCCTATGTATTAGCCAAGCTAAAAGCGAAATATCCTTAAATATCCCGAAGGGTAAGAAGGAATTGAAGCAAAGTCAGTTGCGAATTTTGTTTAGATTTTTTTAATATAACTAAAAAGTTTAATGTTCATGATGTAACAACGAAATCGATAAACAAAGGAAGTTACTTATTAAGTAAAGTCAGGGCATAAATAGGTTGTGCTTCTTTCGATCCTGAATCGTGACTGCAAAGTATGTACTCAATAAGTACTTCATTTCTTCTATTTCCCACATTGGAACTTCATCAATCTTCATTAGGATCACAGAGCCATTTCTTGTTCAATTCCGGCCAATCGGTTGATTATTTATAATGGTCGGTCTTGCCACTTTAATTCATTTATTGTTTATTTCTGTTATAAAAGTTTAGGTTATTAATTTATTAAACGTGGTTATAGAATGATCACTTTTTTGAATTTTTAGATGGATGATCCAATTCACTGCAATGAATATTCCGATTGGGAAATCAATGGCTCATTTTGCGTTAAATGATTGCAAACAAAATTACAGAAGCCCTCTACAAAAATTGGATTTGTTAACAAAAAAAGAATTGACTGCACATAGTTCAACTTGGACCGGTGCGCGTTTGGGTGAATCATCATCGTCAATTTGTTGACCTTGAATGTAAAAATGACGTTCTGCTTTCTGGACACACTGTAACACGAAAGAGTGAGTTTCACAAATAATAGTGCTCCCTTCGCAATTGCATGCTAATTAAGTAAATGCACTCAATTGCTAATGTGATATACTATTTGGACATATCGTTAAATTATTCCAATTTCAATGAAAAGTCTAGCTTTATTGTCTTATACTTGAAGTTCATCATGCAAGAGTTCGAGGGAGATATATTTTAACCATGTTAACTCCTTTCATTTCAAAGTTTTCCAAGCATTTCATATAGTTTTTTATGACAAACAGTGTTGAGTTTTTCTACGTTTGCTTTAATTATTATCGATCATGACCGTTGCAGAATGTTGATTTATGATTTCCCTAAACCCTTATGCGTTAACTCAACAAAATATGCCTCTTCTCTCTCTGGACTCTGCCATCTTGGTCTCCTGAAACGTGTGGCCTCGAGTTTGTGCAGCAACCCTTTCAAAGTTTACAAATTCAAAAAGCCATCAGCTCAATTTAATATAACAAATATTGGCCCAGTATAACAAATAAAGGTCATCTTTGCAAATTTGGAATATTTACACCATGAAATGTGGTAGGAAGTAGCTGAAAGAAAATATGTTCCAGATCCCACCTACCAATAAATTAGTGTTAAAGAAAGAGGCAAAATTCCCATTTGAATATCTCGTTCATTAGCCGCCTACAAGAAAATTTCGAAACTTTTGGCCATGATTTCACCGTCGAGAAAAAAATCTGTCCATATTCTATGCTCCTACATCTTATTTATTTAAGGTACTTAAATTATATTTAAATGCTTTTGTTAATCAACTTCAATACAGTTATCAAATTTACTAATTAAATTAATCTTTTCACTATCGGTTAATAAAATATAATGCATGCAATATTATATCAAATGTCACTTCTAGTGCGTCAGCGTTTTAAAAAATACTCCCAAATTGAGCAAAGTTAATTTAACCGTAAACTCCACAAATGAAAAACCTTTGAGTAAAAGACTCATTTGATGAAATAGCTATAACTTCTACACCTGAATTTTGGACACTATTATTTTTCAATGTAAGGAATAAAATTACTCATGGTGATAACTTCTACATTGAATTAAGTAGAATATTAACAATCGTCCAGTTAATACACTTTAAAGTTTGTATTATCATTTAAAGCAGAAGTGATTTTCTTCAATGTTAACGAGGTATGAAGTCCTAAACTCAGTTAAATGTTTTCAAACTTCCGTATGTAATTTTTTTGTCTATTTTTATGCAAATAACCAATTTCAAAGGAAGATATTACGTTAACAGTCAAATATTGATAACTAATCAGACAGAAAATCTTCTGGAAATTATTAATCTTAAC